ACAATGCAGACCATTTCCGAAATAAGTGTCCATTTCCCTCGTTATTTACTCGTTTATTGTCTCTAATTGCACTCTCTACAATATTCATCTTTATATGTCTCTATTTTTTCTCTACTCACACATATACATCATGCTTTTGTTATTCCAATCCATATGTCATGCTATATTCTATATTGACAGGAAATTCTATTAAAGTTTTAAGTAACATCAAAAACACCTACACGTTCATTTTGTATTTAGAAACGTAACTAAAACAAAACCGTTACGTTTTTGCGCAATTTGGAAACGTAACAAAAACGAAACAAGCGGTTACGTTTTTGAGTCGGAAGTAGAAACGTCTGTGTGCCTTCTTATATATTAACGTTTTAATTACGTTTTGTGATTTACTGAGTTGATATACAGATTGCAGAATAAAATTAAACTAGTGGGGTGTATGGCATCGTGCCTTAAGGCAAATTGCTGGAACTTCCCGTACCGTAACGAAATATTCGAGGAATACTGAATGTTTTCAAATAGATTATTATAAATATTGTAAAATTGTCTAATATTTATAAGAATTATATGAAATGAATTGCAAAGTTGAAATTATTTGTTCAAAGTATATTAGAACTTTAGTCAGAATTAAAAATAAAATATAAATTACTTTCGATATACAAAAAATTAAAAAAAAAACAAAAATTTTTTTCCAGAATGAATTATTTTGTTAAAATAAGCAGAACGTTCTTTGAATCATTCAAATCGGACGCTTAATTCACTCAAAAACTGTCATTTTTTGCACATTTAGCTCTGTATCTTCGAAATGACTGGGCCTACTGTTGCCAAAAACTAATAACCACTTCTCCCAATCATTACTAATTGAATGTTTTTTAGATCATTAAAATCGGATGCTTTATTCTCTCAAAAACTCAATCTCTATTTTCTGCACTCTTTGCTCTTTATCTCCGTAACTGCTGGACCTGCCTTCGCCAAAAACTAATCAGCAAATCTCCCTATCAATAGAAATCGAATGTTTTTGAACCATTTAAATCGGTTAATCCTGGCGTCCGAAAACGTGGGCAAAAAATTGTATCCATACATACATACACACACATCCATTTTTTCTCAGGTAGGCCGAAATGTTCAGAAACCTTCAAAACGTCGAGAAATACAAAAATCTTCAATTTCGATTTTTTAGACGATTACGATAACCAACCCTACGGAAAGTTAATAAAAAAGAAATATTTTTGAGTTTTCATTTAAGTAGTAGTATCACCTTTTAAGACAGTGATTAATATTTTCATTAAATCATCCACATTAGTTAATTCATGCAGTAAAAAACAAATGATTTGTTTCTGGACCTACCTTTACTAAAAACCATGGTCTAACTCAATCTTCAAACCATTAGCTTGAAATCTATTTTTTTTAATCATTTAATAGATCCAAAACTCTTTCGTACATAGTATGAATATCATTTCCAACAATTTCTCATCTCGAAATTATTCACTTGTGTTCTTAATATTATTTTTGATGACCAAAGAGCATTATGTATTTGCAAATATCATAATTATAATAATCATATAAGAGTGTATTATTATATCATTAATTTAATATTTATTTATAATATTTTTTGTTCCAGAAACTTTAGACAAAAGAACTTATGCAGCCCTAGAAATGGGTGGTGGTTCAGCCCAAGTAACATATGTTCCACAATATAAATATGTGAATTTTTTGAAAAAAGATATTCATCCTGTGCCTTATAAGAATCTTAAAGTTTTCAGCAAAAGGTGAGCGAAATTGTCAATAACTAGTGGTGTATGGCATCGTGCCTTAAGGCAAATTGCAGGAACTTAGTTATTTTTATAAGAAACTTTATTAGGAAAGTCTCATAATAATTCTCTATAATTAATTTACAAAAATAAGTGTTATTGAGATTTGTATAACAAATTATTTTTTTAATAATTATTACTTATATTTTTGCAGTTTTTTAGGTCTTGGTCTAAATGCTGCCAGAGATACAATGTTTCAAGCAGATTCTTGGAACAAAATCGAAGAAGGTCAAAATGTTTTCAGTAGATGTTTCCTTCCACAAATTAAAAACGTCGAATTTGAATTCAATAATAAAAAATATTATATCAGGTAAATAAATAAAACTAGTTGGTATTGGTATTTTGCCTTGAGGCAAGTTACATGAACTTCCCGATATGTGTAAATAATCGACTTAATCAATAAAAAAATAAATTAATTTATGAGTGATTGAAAGTATTCCGAGTGGATTCATTACATATAATTGAAAACGAACGAACACTTTGACTCGAAGAATTTTCTAAAAGCAAATTTCAAAAAATCAATCGTTTTTATAATTGAACCAGTTTCCAGGACTTTAATGGTTTATTATGTTCAAGACCAAGTGCTCTATCATTATACGAAGTAAATAGTGTAATTTTAATTTTAACAAACGTCAAAAGAACTACTCATTTTCTCAAACTCTGATGAATTTTTAAAATTAAACTACTTATCCTAAGGCCATAATATTTTAGTAAGTTCTATAAGACCATGATATATATCGCCAAAAAAAGTTTCATAAAAATCGGCTTAATTTTTTTTCAACAGTTAATTACAAGAAAACGGCTCCGTAGATTTTCACCTAAAACTAATCAGTATCATTCCCAACAAATTTACAAGAATTTTATAATGTTTTTTTTATCTGTTATTTATTATTTTTTAGTGGAAAACCAGGTGATACACGAAATAACCGACCAAATATGTACTCCTGCAGATATTATGTCATAAAATATATTTTGCCAAAAATTCAGCCAAAACCTTTGGGTTTATGTGAAGAAGATTCTGTGGCTTTGAGTGCTTTTTATTATAGAGGACGAGCTGCTGAATTAATCGGTAAAAAATATAAATATATATATTGGGATGGGTGGTCTTTAATATGGACATTTTCGAATTTTTTTGCTCCCAATGCTTCCAAATTGATAAGAAAAAATTCTCTGAAAGTTTTAGCTCCTAATATTAACTTTAAGATAGTCCGCACTCCAACCATAGTTTCTTGGTTTTTCTTCCTAAGTAAATACTTATTTTATAAAACATCAAATTTTTGTTGTAAGTTTTTTATTCACGATCAAAAAATCAAAATAAGCAAATACAATGATATTCTCAAAAATTTGATTCACTTGCCGCAAAGTTATGAAATTCTAAAAAACAAATCGAAATTTACCCATGTTATTTCTATAAGAAGCTTTTGTTAGAGTGAGGACTATCTTAGACTTAATTAAGAGCTGAAACTTTCAAAAAAAAATTTTTTTGTTATTTTGGAAGCATTTGAGCCCTTGGGAGCAAAAAAAAATCAAAAATATTCACCCTGGCCACACCTAAGTTGTTATCTTGTAAGATGCTTTACTTTATTATTATTATATTTACTTTATTATATTTACTTTAATTTTTTTTAAAAGAATCAAAACATTTACAATTGTTTCTCGTAACTTTTTTAAGACTCTTTAATTTTTTTTATAAAAATAAAAACATTTATAATTGTTTCTCGTAACTACATTACATTTTTTTAAAAAAATCGAAAATTTCACAATTTTTTCTCATGATGTTTTGTATGGGAGGAGGGTCCCAAAAATCCTTAAAAAATCGATCACGTGTATAATGGATGCCCCCTTATTGGAAGTTTATTCTTAACGATATATTATTTTTATTATAATTTTTATTTTATTTAAAATCTTGAATAATTGTTTTTCTATTTTTCTATTATTTATATTTTTTCTCTATTTTCAGTTGGTCCAAGTGGAAAAATCTGTTTAGGTGACTTGTGGAGAAAAACTGATATGGAATGTGCAAAACCTAATGAGAAAGATCCATTCTTATGTATGGATATGATTTATATGTACACTTTGCTGAAAAATGGATATGGACTCAGGGATACTAATTATCTAGAGGTGAATTAATTAGATACTCAAAACTGATTTTTTTAATCCAAATAAATCTTAATAAAAAACTCTCTCTATATTCCCGTCGGGTATATAGTAATAGCAAAAAAGTCGAATGTGAAAATTTTTGCATATCTTGACGTTTCAAAGGTTTCTGAACATTTTCGCATACTTTAGAAAAAATTTATGTATGTGTGTGTGTGTGCGGATACAAATTTTGACTTTGAATTTGGTAATATTTCATTCTTTAGCAATAAATAGAAAATTCAGGTTTTTTTTGGTCAAATAACTCAAAAATATCATATGGAACCACCCCTTTTCAGTTAGATAGGGTGAAACTAGATAAAATTTACTGAATTTCCTTGGGAACACTTTTATACATTCCGATATAAAAGTTTTGAATAAAACGACTTTAGTCCTATATTTTTTATTCCTATTAGTAATACGATATATAGAGTATAAAGCTTCAGTATGATACTAAATGTTAATATTAATATATTTGTTTTTGGTAAAAATGTTTATATAAAACTTTAATACAAACTATAAATAGATAATTAAATTAAATTTGTTTCAGATGATCCTGAATATTGACAATCACGAACTATCCTGGGCCTTGGGTTTTGCTTACAGTAAACTAATTGAAAAAATACAAAATTAGAAAAACAGATTTTCTGGCTTAAACATAAATTTCTCAAACCAAAAGATACTATAAAGATACTATTTTTGTAATATTTATAAATATACAAAAGTATTTTTAGATATGTTGTTACAATATAATTATTTACAATATGTTCTACAAGGTTTATTTACCAAAACAAGAATGCTTTATTTATATATATTATATATTAAAAAAATAAATATTATCAAACTGTTGCCAAATGTGTTTCAAAAAAGTCAACAATTTGTTTTGTAAATTTTGGCTGTTTACAACACCTATAGTTATTTTTTAATTTTAGGTTGCAAAACATAATTGTTACAAAACTTATCATGTTTTTTTTTCAAGAAATATTTTAGGCTAATTATTATAATAAAACTACTTTTGCTCTTGATATTATTTTCTTTGTAAAAATTTAACAGTGAACTATGTGTCTTTTAATTAAATTAAAAATATTTTGTATTTTACTATTCATACAGTTCTGTAAGTAACTTATTTTTGTAATTGTTATATTTTGTTAATTTAATTATTACAAGTTAAAATTATAAGACTTCATTTTATGTTTTCATGTTTTTAGTATTTTTTTACTAGTTTCAGTTTAGGCATCACAGATTTTATTTTCACCATTACGTAAAAAATAGAAGTATTAGAAAAATAAGATTTTTAATTATCTATAATTATCCAGAAATATTCTTTTTTTTAGTAATCCATGTAGGTAAAACTAATCCTTTATCAACAAGAGATAAAATTTATTCAGTTGTAATTGATGCTGGATCTACTGGTTCTAGAGTGGTTGCTTATGAATTTGAAAGACATGGTAAAAATATTTTCAAAAATTAGTTAAAAAAAATTAATTTAATACTTATTATATTTGGTGTCTAATTTCAAAGGCAATAAACTTAAATTATTACGAGAGCAGTTTAATAAAACAAGGCCCGGTTTGTCCAGTTATGCTCAAAATCCTGATGAGGTAATCAACTGCACTTATAAATCTCTACTAATAAAAAATTTAATATAACTAGTTGGTATTGGTATTTTTCCTTGAGACAAGTTACATGAACTTTGATAAATTTTTAAAAACTAACTACCTGTCAAAATGCCGTAATCTTTCAGTAAGTTTTATAATACCATAATATATATCGCCAAAAAAAGATCCATTAATATCGGTTAAAATTTTTTTTTCAACAGTTAATTACAAAAAACGACTCGGTAGATTTTCACCTAAACCTAATCAGTATCAATCCAAACTAATATTTTTCGAACAGTTTTTAATAAATTTGCAATTTCTTTTTTCCTTTTTTCAGGGTGCAAAGTCAATTATGCAGCTGATAGACAATATCCAAGACTTTGTTCCAGCTTATTTAAAACCTAAGACAAAACTGTTTCTAAGGGCTACGGCTGGTCTTCGACTTTTGGGCAATGATACTGCAAAAATGTTATTGGACAAAGTTCAAGAAGAATTCAAGAAAACTGATTATAAGGTTGAAGACCATGCAGCAGGAATGCTTAGTGGAAGTGATGAAGGGATGTTTTCTTGGTTTACAGTAAATTATTTGAAAGGTACTTAATTATAATTGATTAGTGGAACGGATATTAACAATATAAATATGAATTTGCTTGACTCTATTTGTGCACTTACTTGAATCAAAATAGTGGACAGAAGTATAAAAATATTTTCTTCATTTTCAAAGATATTCCAAAATGCATCTTTTTATCCTAGCAAATGCTTGAAATTATGTTTGGAAGTATCTCTTTTTTTGAATGGCAAAAAAGTGTATTTACCGTGTTTTCCAAAAATTTATTTTTGTTAATCAAGACTTTAATGTCTTTTTTACAAAAATGTAGGGAGAAGTGGGTGTTTTTTTTTAAATGGTTGATTGATTTAATTTTTAAAGGACCAATTTCTTGTAAAACACTTTAATTATAATCTTATGTATTTATTTTAGATTAATTACAAATTGTACTTGTATTTACAATATTTTTAATGTTTTAAGTTTTGTATTGATTGACTTTATTTTATGTCAATTTCGGATTGATTCTTATTAACTTCCCGTAGGGTAAGTTATTGTAATGGGCCGAAAATCGGAATTGAAAATTTTTACATTTCTCGATCAGCTCGTTTTGAAGGTTTCTGAACATTTCGGCATACCTCAGAAAAAATTGATGTGTGTGTGTATGTGTGTGTGTGTATGTATGTATGGATACAAATTTCCAGTCACGTTTTCAGGCGCACGGATCAACCGATTTGAATGGTTCAAAAAACATTCGATTCCTATCGATAGGGAAAAGAGCTGATTAGTTTTTGGCAAAGGCAGGTCCAGCCGTTTCGCGGATACGGAGCAAAGAGTGCAGAAAATAGAAATCGAGTTTTTGAGAGAACGGAGTATTCGATTTGAATGATCTAAAAAACATCCAATTAGTAATGATTGGGAGAAGTGTTTATTAGTTTTTGGCAGAGGTAGGCCCAGCTATTTCAAAGATACGGAGCTAAATATGTAAAAAATGGCAGTTTTTGAGGGAACTAGGCGTCCGATTTGAATGATTCAAAGAACTTTCTGCTTGTCTTAACAAAATAATTGATTTTGGAAAAAAAAAATTTTGTTCCATTTTTTTTTTTTTATTTTTTTGTATATCGAAAATAATTCAGATTTTATTTTTAATTCTGACTATAGTTCTAATATACTTAAACAAATAATTTCAACTTTGCAATTCAGTTTATATAATTCTTATAAATATTAGACAATGTTACAATATTTATAATAATCTATTTGAAAACATTCAGTATTCCTCGAACATTTCGTTACGGTACTGAAGTTCCAGCAATTTGCCTTAATGCACGATGCCACCCACCCCACTAGTTTTGTTTTCATATCATAAATCGGATGCTTTGATTTAACTTAAACATATGTTTTCTATATCAATACATAGCATGCTTTGATTAGGCACGAACAGTGGGCCACCCAGATTTTTATCTGAAAAAATGCTGCTATACGCTACAAATTCTGCATTTAAAGATTATATGTCTATGTAATATATTGCATATTTACTCGAAGTTTTCTCGTGATAATTCGATAACAAATCACGCAGGTAAAATTTTCTCGGCGAAATTCTTCGCGCGTTTCAATGTACAATGCGACAGTAGGTTTGTAACCTTCAGATGCTTTTTAAAATTGACTAAGTACCAAAATAGAAAAAAGAGTGCGTGTAAGGATCACGCGCGATTAAAGTAAAACTCTTTTGCTACTGTACAAGATGGCATTTAAGTAAAAATAAATACATCATATAGCAATTTTGAATAATGTTTATTAGTAATATGGTAACACTCGTGATGCACACATTTATTAGTGTCACACTACTATACACATATATATATATATATATATATAATGATAAATTATAAATTAGATATTTATAATAGCATTGAAAATATTTATAATATTTGAAAACAATAATGTAATTAAAGCCATGCTTGAAATATGACATGATCGGTTTGTCATTGTAATTAGCATTTAGAAATGAACCTTCATTAGTGAAATGAATTATTTGCTGATAAATAAATCCTATAATATTCGTTCATACAGTGATTTATGTTAAACAACACCTAAACAAATATTGTTTTTGCAAATTTACTCATCGTGTAATAATTGTGTTTGAAGAACTTCATGCGATTAAAATTAACATACATTCATTGACTGCTTGTATTTTTTTTACTTTTTCGCTGGCGATATAATCTCATTCCTTGAACAGCTGTAATATCTGTCTTGCCTAAGAAATATTATCTATTTTAATTACGTCGAAGATTTATAGAAACTACGAATAATATAAAAATAATTTATAATCAATTAACTTTCTAATCATTAATCTTAAATATCAATATTTTCAAAGAACATGGTATATTCTTCTGATTCAGACATTTTTCATTAAATCAAGATATGTACTGCAATGAAACTTTAAAATGTTTATATATCTATGCCGAGTTTATTGTTAATATTGGTACGCATACAACGTTGATGCCGGTACGTATATAACAACAGATCTCTATTCACAAACACGACGGCTAATCACAATCGACCCGTATAGAAATATCATCGAGAGCGAATGACAAATCATTGGTACTCGACTCTTATCTGCCGTAACTCACTTCCGTTCACTAGTCTTGGAGTTATTCGGGTGGCCCTCTCCAGCCTATTGCTAATTTCTCAAAGATTTCAAGACCGTGATTTGTCTCATCATCAGTATGAAATTTAACAGTATCACTATGTGAACCATCGTGTTGTATTTTTGATATATTAAAACTTTGCACCAATATTTCATAGCTTCCGATGTATTGCAACAAATATGTATATGAAATTTTAACCGATAAATATATTTTTTAGATACATTAGACCAATCTAAAACTTATGCAGCGTTAGAAATGGGAGGTGGATCTGCTCAAGTAACTTATATACCAAAAGACAATTACAAGAATGATCTAAAAGAAGATATACATGATGTACCTTATAATAATTTGCAGGTTTTTAGTAAAAGGTAATTTAAATGATAACTAACAGATTATAGTGTGTTATATCTATGGAAGATGGAAAATAGCGCACGTATTTTTTATGATTGCTTGTTGAGTTGTATTATATGCGAAATCGAGTGAAATATCCCATTCAGCATCAATATTTATTTTACTTTCAGTAATGTACTGCAAAAATAATATTTTATAAAAATTTCTGTATTTTAAGCTATTTAGGCCTAGGAATAAATGCTGCCCGAGATGCAATGTTTAGAGAAGATGTCAAAGGAGATTTTAAACCAGGACAAACTGTGATCAGTAAATGTCTCAATCCGAATGTAGAATTTTTTAAATTTGAATTTAATAACACAAAGTACCTTGTAAGGTAAAGTATTAGTTTTTATTTCTTAACCTAACTTAAAAGCTCTTGAAAATAAAAATGCCTAACCAATCTTGAGATGTCTTTTGCTGGATTTTGAGTTTCAATAGAGAATTTATTAATTGATTTATTTTTATAATTTTTTTATAAAACTGAAGATATGTAGAGAATTTATTAATTGATTTATTTTTATAATTTTTTTATAAAACTCAAGATATGTAGAATTCAAATACAATCTCTGATTTTATTTAAGTATTTGTAAAATCATAAAGTTTCAAATTTAAAGTATGCTTACTTTGGAATTACATCCGTTTTCCTTCTCTATAAAATTTGATATTTTTTTTATAATCAAGAAATTTTGTGTGATTTTTTTTGAAAAAATACTTCAATAATGATATACGTTTCACTAGTGATGATGAAAAATAATATTTTCCTAAAAATCCATGTTAAATTACTAAAACTTGATAAAATTGATAAATGAAGGTAAAGGAAGTATTATAAAATTGTAATGCACCTTGAATAATGATATTTATGCTATGGTTTCTCAAAAAGTTAAAATAAAATATATCGTTTAAAAATTTAGTAAATTTCTTAAATTTAACCTTCGTTTTTTTAGATATATTATTTTGATAAAGTTATTTAAAATGCTATATTCAAAAATTTAGGAAAAATATTACTAGTCAGAAAAAATGCCTATAAAAATTAGTAAAATTAAAATTAGAATAAAATTTAAAAAAATTCTAGATATAAAATATATAAAATCTTTTTAAAAAATCTCATGGCTTTGATGGTAATAAATACTACAAATGCCTTCTTAGAAAATACATAAAAATTCTGATAAGATAAATAAAAATCGTGGAAAATATTCAAAAAAATTTACTAAATAGTCATTAAAATTATTACGTCTAAAAGCTTTAGGTGTACAAATTACTAATTCTTTTGGATACGATGTGAAATTTTTATAATCTTAAAAAAGACAAACTTTGAAAAATTTATTTCAATTTTAATATATTATTAGAACCAATATATTTAATTATATGAACATTGTCAATTGTTCTGAATATTTTTACCCTGCAACATTCTTTTTTTTGTGATTAAAAATTCGTTTTTATTGGTAGAATCTAAATGTTTTAAATGTATTTAATAAATGTTTAATGATAATAGATGATTAATAGATTTAATGTTTTTTTTTTGATTTTTAGTGGGTATACGAAAAGCAGAAAACGTGTTAAAACAGAACAATGTCTTGCTCATGCCAAAAAATATGTCCAAGAAAAAGTAAAACCTAAACCTTTGGGTTTGTCTGAAGAGCAATCTGTGGCTTTGAGTGCTTTTTATTATAGAGGAAATGCTGCCAAATTGATTGGTAAAAATTTAAATTGGCATATATATATATATATATATATATATATATATATATATATATATATATATACATACATACATAAGGTGTCCCAGAATCAACTCAAATCCAAAACAATGTAAAAATTTACCACAATTACTGTAAAATAGTCTCAATTTGACAAAAGCGCCTGTGTTGTACTTATAATTCTCAAATACATCGATTTTTTTTTTTAAATTATGATGGTTACGATGGATACTATCACTTCATGTTGATGTGGCTTGAAGTTGAGTTCTGGAAGACCAATAGCACGCACTTAAACTTAAAAAAATTAAATAAATAAATCTATTCTCATATAAGAAATATGTTGTCTCATCTTTAAAAAAAAACATAAAACACGATATAACTGGAATATTTTCAAAATTACACATCTAACAAATTCTATTAGTTTTATACACTTACTTCGTGCTAATGCCTGTGTCGTGGCGTAGTAGTAAGGTCTCGGCCTTGCAGTTACAATTTTACAACTACATTTTGTATGCCCTTATGATTACCATCTGTGAAACTGAACAAAAAAATTGTTAGATGCCTTTTTGAAAAAAAAACTATGTCATAATAAAATATAATTTATATAATTATATAAAAAGATAAAATAAATATGATTAGAAGTAATAAGAAATCAAACTCATCCGAGAATAAACTTAAAATTACCAGAACTTGCATGATTTTCTTGCAATACTTTTACCAAAATGATTACTCCTTATTTATAGAACATTATTTTTAATATACTGTTATGTTTAATTATGTTATAAATTTTATGTTTATTATTAAATTAATTTTTACTTAGTTGGAGAAGGAGGCAATACAACTCTAGGTGAAATATGGAAAAAAGCTGAGGAGGAATGTGCCATGGTACACCTGAAGGACCCTAACGATCCATTTTTGTGCATGGATTTGATATATATTCACACTTTACTAAAATATGGTTTTGGCTTAAAAGACTGTAACAGGATTGAGGTAATTAATTAATCAATATTTTATGTTTAATAATGTATTAACTTTTTTTCTTATCTTCATACTTTGATAAAATATGGTTTTGGCTTAAAAGAGTGTAATAGGATAGGGGTAATTCTTTAATTATTGATTATTATGAAACTAAAACAAGTATTTAAACAAATTCTGGCTGGGTTATAAAAATCCAATATAGAATTGGTGCAGGTTTAACAAAAAATTATTTATTTTTTATGTTTCGATTATTTAAACAAAAATAATATTAATTCCCAAACAATACATTAGTAATAGTATTATTCGAGATTTCGGGAACTTTATAGTTCTGTACCATTATTATTCCAATATAAAGAATATCAATTTTTTCGTCTTTCCCACCTCTTCTTCGACGGCTCGTTTGCAACCTGAAACGAGGCCTAGGTCCAGGTTGGCGTGCAATATACATATGAATTTAACATATGATCAAATAATTGATTAAAAATTCAAAAAAATATTTTTGTAACGCAATATAATTAATTTACTAATATATGTATATGTAAATGCATTTATATTTTTAGAGTTCAATTATTTAAAAAACAGTTCCGAAAGTAACTGATTTTTATATAATATAAAAATAATAAGTTGCATGCAGTTTTTGTACTAAAAACCGTTTCATTTATTTTTTTCAGATGATTCTGAAGCTTGATAATCACGAATTATCATGGGCACTAGGATTTGCTTATAGTGAATTAGTAAAACAATATAATTTATCCAAAAATATAGACTCTGAAAATCAAATAGAAAAAAAATGAATAAAAAAGCATAGTCATGCTTTATGTAACATAATACTTTCTATAAATAAAATTTACTCTAGGGAGATTTATAAAAATAAAGTGTAACAAAAAAAATAAATAAAATATATTGTATATTCATACAGAAAATTTGTATTATTTGTTCCGTTGTAAATATCAGGTAAAAAAATAATAATTAAGTAATTTATTAAGGATGATAAAGTGGAAAAAATAATACTCTATAGAGCATATGAATATTATTTAATTATTACTCTATATATTTTATTTTATTCATTTTTCAATTGATCGTTATTTAATTAGATATTAAAACACATATTTGTTCAAAATCATTAAAATAAATTTATCATTTTTAACTTCCCCTAGGGCAAGTTATAGTAATCGCAAAAAAATCGAAAATGAAAATGTTTATAGATCTTTACGTTTCAAAACTTTCTGAACATTTTGGCATACCTTAGAAAAATTGGATGTATGTGTGTGTGTATATGTGTGTGTGTGTGCCTGTATGTATGTATATGTTCGGATACAAATTTTAGTCGACGATTTCAGGAACACGGATCAACCGATTTGAATCGAATAATATAAATAATCGAAATATAAGAATAATCGAATTCGATTCGGAGACGTGCTGATTAGTTTTTGGCGAAGGCAGGTCTAGCCGTTCCGAAGATACGGGGCAAAAAGTGCCGAAAACGGAAACTCAGTTTTTAAGAGAACGGGGCGTCCGATTTGAATAATTCAAAAAACATTTTATTTGCATTGACTAAATGAAGAACTGTTCTAATTTTTAGAAAGGCAGGTCCAACGACTTTCGAGATGTGGAGGAAAAAGTAAAAAAATGAGCCATTTGGCGGTCAAAAATAAACATTAGACATTTGCACATCAAATTATCAGATATTTTATAGAGATTTTAACAATGAGTATAAATTTTGTTTACATTTCTATGGGTTCCGTACCAATGTTTACGCGTTAGACGGCGACGCGGCGCTTACGCGCTTTGATATTTCGTCTTTATGCAGTTAAAGCAGTACGATTGCTTTGAAAAAAGTTCAGAATTTTCAAAATATTTCAAAATACACTTTTCTTCAAAAAGTCTTTTTCAAAAAAAGTAAATTTTTATCAAAAATTTATAGTTTCTCAAAAATCTAACTTTTCAAAGTAACTTTTTTTCAAAAATGTTATTCTTTCAAAATAAAAATAATTTTATATAAATAAAACTATAACTTGCCCTACGGGAAGTTAAGAAATTTGAAGACATATTTCTTTTCCATAAGGGCAACCCAATGGTCAACCACTTGCAATTTTTATGTCGCAACAAAGACCAGGAAAGGCAATTTGCATTCAAGGTAATATTTGAGTCCTATAATCTCAAGTGAAAATTTGATATCATACTGCTTGATATCGAGCTGGCTGAGATAAAGATTGAACCTAGGACCTAAACCTGGTTTTGTTCTCGTAGCTCTGGCAAAATCAAATAGTCGCAAAAATTATATTTTATTATAAAATTATCTTTGATAAGAGTACTTTTGTTTTGCTTAAGTGAAAATTTGATATCATACTGCTTGATATCAAGCTGGCCGAGATCAGAATCGAACTTAAGACTAGTTTATGCTCGTAGCTCTGGTAAAATCAAATAGTCACAAAAAATTATATTCTATTATAAAATTATCTTTGATAAGAGTACTTTAGTTTTACTTAAGTGAAAATTTGATATCATACTGCTTGTTATCGAGCTGGCCGAGATCAGAATCGAACCTAGGACAAGTTTATGCTCGTAGCTCTGATAAAATCAAATAGTCACAAAAATTATATTTTATTATAAAATTATTTTTGATAAGAAATTTATTACCTTTCGAGAGTTTTACTTTGTATGACGTCACATTAATTAAAATTCCATTAACTTTACGATAAGAAACACATGTGAATAACTTTTGAAAATAGCAAAGAAAATTATATAACCGAAATTCATTTAGCAAACACAGCTGTATTAGTTTTTCAAATATTATCTATATTTAAATATAATTGTCTTGAGCACTTGAACTTTAGTGGATTTTTAGCATTTAGTGTCGAGGCAATTTTTTGGGAAAGATGTTGGCGTCTGTAGGATGTCTGTGTTTTTTGCTGATTTTTGGGACATCATCAGGTAAATAGATAGAAGACTTATGAAAATATTTTTCTGTAAACGGTTTATTAACTTCCCATAGGATAAGTTATAGTAATCGCAAAAAAATCGAAAATGACAATTTTTGCATATTTTTACGCTTCAGACGTTTTTAAACATTTTGGCTAACCTCAAAAAAAATGAATGTGTGTATGTCTATGTCTAAAGCATGTATGTGCAGATACAAATTTTCATCGACGATTTCGGGCGCATGGATCAACCGATTTAAATAATTCAAAAAACATTCGATTCCTATTGATAAGGAAACGTGATGATTAGTTTTTGGTAAAGGAAGGTCCTGCCGTTTGGGAGATACGGAGCAAATAATGCAGAAAATAGAAATTCAGTTTTTGAGATAACGATATTGAATTCCGATTTCAATAACTCAAAAACATTTTATTTATATTAATGAAATGAAGAATTGGTTAACTGGTTTTTGGGAAGGCAGGTCTAGCGATTTCGGAGATCCAAATAAAAAATTGAATAAAATGTCTAAGACAAAAGTATATTAATACAAAATAATAAAACTAATTCAATTTGTTTTATGAATGCATTTGGAACAATATTTAAAATTTATTATATTTTTTTTTAATATAATATTATTATTTATTATCAAATTTTGCAAAATATATATATTATATCATAAAATAATATTTTATATTGATTTTTTGAATCAATACTAAAAGTGTAAATTATGTGAAATGTGAAATAAATTGTTACAAAATATCAATCACCATAATATTGGATTTTTTCCAAACTTATTTTTTATTGCAGAATATACACTCCTCTATTTTTGTATTTACAACTAAGTTGTTTTATGTTTTATTCAAGTACTTGAAAAGTGTAGAAAATTATATTATTTTTATTATTTTCTCAATAATTAAATTAGTAGAGATATTGCAAATTCATTGATCTTCTCTAAAGATCAAAATTTGTCTCACATACGCACATACTTTCTGTATTTGGTCTCAAACGATTCAGAACAACTAGAAATGTCGACAAAATATAAATCAACTAGTGGTGCATGGCATCGTGCCTTAAGACAAATTGCTGAAACTTCCCGTACCGAAAATTAAGATTTTTAAAAAACCTTTAAAATTTATTGAAAACTTTGGAAAAAAAGAGATTTGTGACTTTTTTGAAAAAATAGATTTTTTTATATTTCTAATTTTTCTATACTTTGAATTTTTCTGAAAATTTTGAATTTTTTTTTTTCAACGCGATCGTGCTGCGCGGCTGTTTTAGAGATGAAATATCAAAGCGCGTAAGCGCCGCCCCGCTTCCGGTATAATTATTGGTACGGAACCTGAAGAACTGTAAACAAAATTCATACTTCTTATTATTATAATCTCTATAAAATATCTGATAATTTGATGTGCATATGTCTAATGATCATTTTTTATCGTCAACTGACATTTTTTTACTTCAGCTCCAAAACCGATAGACCTGCCTTCACAAAAGTTTAATCATTTCTTCATTTTGTCAATTAAAGTAAAATATTTTTGTAAAATCGAATACTTTTCATAAATCGTCGACAAAAATTTGTACTCGAACAAACACACACACGCACACATATACATACATCCATTTTTTTAAGGTATGTCGAAATTTTTGAAACGTATAGATCTGCAAAAGTTTTTTTAATTTTAATTTAATTTTTAATGTTTTTGCGATTACTATAATTAATCATACGAGAAGTTGAATATTTGTTTCTACATATTATTAAAGTATTTTAAAATGTAGAAAAATAGATCAACTTTATTATTTTCTCAATAACAATTGGTAGAGACATTGCAAATTCACTGATCTTCTGTGAAAATCACACACACATTCTTTCCATTTTGGTCTCAAAAGATTCAAAACGACTTGAAACGTGGACCAATTATAAACTAATCAAAAAACACTAAAATTAAATATCACACACATACTTTCCACTTTTCCATTTTCGGTCTCGAAAGATTCAGAACGACTTCAAACGTTGACCAAAAATGAACTAATTGAAAAATAATAAAATTAAATAGAATCGCAAATACAAAATTAAACATGTTTCCAAACATTTTTGGAAAAAAATAGTTTTATTGTATACAGATAGATTATTTAGGTTATTATTATCTATTATTATTAAATTTTATTATTAGCAATTATATAAAATTATTCATCTTTTCCTTAAAGCCCATGATGATCGTCCAAGAATGAGAACAAGGGCTCTTTCTAGACAAGAAATTGTCTACAGTGTAGTCATTGATGCTGGTTCTACTGGATCAAGGGTTATTGCTTATGAATTCCAAAAACAAGGTAGTAAAAATTTAAAAAAAAAATAGACAAATATAACAGTGATATAGATATTTATAAATAATTAAAAAATGTTGTTATTATGCTTTAGATGATGCTTACGACCTTTTACGAGAAGACTTTCACCAGCAAGAACCTGGTTTGTCAAGTTATGCCAATGATCCAGAAGAGGTAAGTAAAATTCATACTTTTTTTTATTTACATCAATGAACTACAATCTGTCATAATAAACAACAATCAGTAATTTTAATGGTTTGTTAAATAAGGAAAAGGTCGAATGGTCACCGAGTGATGATCCGATTCGAGGTTGATGTGTCCTGATGTGAAAAAATTTAAATAAAGTCTACGAGTAATTGTGCATATTATAGGATTACTAAAGAATATCAAAAAAGGCCGTTTTGGCTGAGCCGTTCAATGTCATGGTTTTTTATTAAATTTTTGGCCAAGATGTTTGGATGGTTCTGTATTCTATCCTTGTATCTTAAATTGAATTTTGCTGTTTCTTCCTTGACAGTGTTTATGTTCAAATCAGTATGAACCAACCAATTTAGGACATACTTGGGTGCATTTATAATTTCTTTCAAAATCTTGTTTTGAAATCTTTGAAT